CCAAATTACAGTCACTTTTGCAGTTCCTCTGGTGTCAGTGAACAGCTGGGGGGGGAAACTTGAGTGGGGAGAGAGGCCTTGGAGGTCAGACAGTGAGAGTGGAGGACGTTAATGGGAGGAAGAGGGGGACAAAGGAGGAGTTTAACACGGAGGAGTGTCTAGCAGTGATGCTGGTGAATGGCAAAGTCTAGTGTAGCTGCTTAGACCACTGCAGGATGAAACTGTGTTCTGCCAGCTGTATCGGGGGGAACTGAGGATGAGTGTCACAGTAGGGGAATAAGAATAAGCAAAAAGGTTAGATGAGGAAAGCCCAAGACAGACACTGACAGAAGAGTGTAGGATTGTCTGATCAGAGAAGAGCATGTCATAAAGGACATGGACACATGAGAGCACAGCTTTCCTACAGTACAGGAAAGGAGTGTGTTACTCCCAAGTCTTAGTGTTTTTCTACAGGTGGGAAAATCTCCTGGTAAATTGTAAGTCATGTTCTCCTTTTCTGCTTCTTGTCCAAACAAAAGGTGGCAGCCAGCTGCTGTTGCCAGCTAGTTTAGCAGCTGAGACTATTTTATACACTGGAATCTTTCAGGCTGATATCTCGTTGAAGTGTAACCACTATCCACATGAAATTACATAAAATACATGCAATAAGAGCATTTGGATCATGAAATCAATTGCTATAGGGTCGGGAAATGTCAGAATGAATGGGCTATATATTGTATTTTCCTTTTAGGGTTCTCCTTCCATCCCCAAATATCATCTCTTTTCAAGGCAGATAAAGGACCTGCTTTAGACATGAATCAGGACTGTATATTGCTGTCATTGTCAATAAACGTATGGAGGATGGGATAGAGGACTGTGGAAGAGAAAGGAGTTATTCTGAAAGTTATTCAGACTAGTTCTGACAATGTGTTCCTAAAATTTCTAGATGGACTACTAATTGTATGTTCCTGGCTTTTTGGGTATCTTGATTTGAGAACCAGCTGCCTCATTTGCTGTTCAAGATAAGTCAAAGTTAGCTGTACTTTGAATATGAAGACTGTGTAATGATCAATACTCTGAAAGATCTGTGCTTCACACCAAACACCTATACTTAATGAAGTCTTCAGTGTTTCAGGTATTATCAAAAGATTATGTGCCTCACCTCAGAGGCATTCATCAGATACTGCATTGATGAGGTCCACAGGGAAAAGAAAAAGTTATAAAGAACCTTCGAAAGAGTCAGTTATTCAGGATTCAGAACAGAGTTTATATAGTCCTAACAGTAAATAAGGCATAAATCCATACATTGCAAGGCAAGGATTAAATTAAAGATTAAATAACTTATGGTTCAGTGAGCACTGTTTGTTCTGTGCAGGGTTTGAGGCAGGGCTCTAGTGGAAAAATAGCTTCCAGTCACAAAATTAAAGACTTTGACAAAATGTACACAGGCAACTGGGATTTATGCAGTGTCCAAGGACATGTATCATGATATTACGTGCTTCATTCTTCAGTATAAGATTCTGTGTTGTTTGAAGCTGAGTATAATTAATCATTCATAAGGAAGGGAAATACAGATGTGTATAAGAGGAGCATGAAGATGTACATCATTCCTTCTTACTGAAAGGAAGATGTACATCTTCCTCCTTAGTGAAAGGACTAATTTACACTGATCCCAGTTTGAATGGTGGTCTCCAAAGAGAAGTAGAGAACACTGCTCATTGCAGCCCTGCCATATCTCTCTTTTGGGGAGGTTCAATACCTGCTAGGGTTCCTATTGAAAGATTCAGAAAAACAGCAGGAAAACAGGTAAGTCCTTCAGCAGCTAATGTAATGCGAGAGGGTGGAAGCAGCAAAGGAGGAGAGGGAGCACAATGAAGAAGAGAGAGGTCCTCTCCATATGGAGGGCTGCTACTCTGGAATGAACTGAAGCTTTCTGCCTGGCAGTCTGCACCTCTGTACCATACCTGCTGACATACATTGTAGAGATACCTGAGTTTAGTCTCCTGCACACAGGGCTCTTGCCTCTGGACTTTCCCAGAGGTACAGCTTTGCATACTTTATTTTTAGTTTTTACCTGTGTGGGATATATATATGAATAATGTTTAGTAGCTTTTTTTTCTGTAGCCGTGGTTGTCTAAGAAGCTAGTCAAGAAAAGGTAAAGGTAATGTGTTTTATTGGACCAAGTGATGTAGTTAGAAAAAAATTAGACGACTTTTAAGGACTGAAAAGACTGCAGAATTGACTTACTGGTATACAGGCTTTGGAGTCTGAAGTGTGGTATCCTGACCCCACCTTCAATTTCTTGTGTGTTTTATATCCCCATAATCATGATGGTTTAGGGTAAATTTTCTGAACTATAAAAACATTAGTGGATGGGATAGAAATAAATTTAAAATGAAGACAGGTACATAAAATGGAGTCATTGTGTTGCTCTGACCTATAACTTTTATTACTTTTGGAGCAGAATAGAAATAGACCATTAGCATTCCTGAAGTTCTCTTATGAAGACATGAAGACACTGATGCATTTCACTCTGCTGCTGTGAGAAATCTGGGACCTCCTGCTAGCCAGCTTCTTCTTAACACAGTGAGCAACATACACCTAGGAGCAGCAGACTCTGACTTTTGTCAAAATTTCCTATGTCTTAATTTAGTTTGCAGAGTCAGAGGATCAACAAAGGTCTTGCTTCTCAAAGCCTTTCCAGTGTAGAAGTATAGACCTCTTCTTTGTGAAACTTCTGCCTTCACAAGAGATTTTGCATTTTCAAATAACAGCTCATGAATGAGCTAATGAAATAATTCATAGCCCTTTTTTCAGGCAAAAATACCATGCCAGCACCCAGAAGAACAAAGCGTCTACTTTGTATCTCACAACATCTGCCAAGCATATTTCAGTGAGACATCCAGAATGTTTTACTAATATTTTAATTGAAGAGGATAGAGTGAGTTAAAAATTAGGCCACACATTTTTGTCTTATATTCTTTTATATTCTTTCTTTATTTCCTTCAGAACTTAGTAGGTGAGAGTTATTGTGAGAGATCAGTGAACCCTGAACAGCTGAACTTGTCTTATGACGATGTCCAGATTTGTCAAAAATCTGTGTTTAGTAACTTCCTCTTTGTGTTTTTTTTTCAGTGTACAGTAGTGATGTGAGGCTAGTTATTTTTCTCTGGGTACAAGGTGAAGCTGAGAGTCAAGATGTAGCCTGTGCTGAATGAACAAACTCTGAAATTAGATATCAGGGCTAGCTGGGGTTTTTACTGCTAGGTTCATGCTTTATTCCTTAACAAATCTGCCCTTTAGTTCTCATCTATATCAGAGGATAAAGTATAAATAGGTATTTCTTCAGTATCGTTATTCTTCTTGCAAGTGTGTATTTCAGTACAAGGCAGATGGCACAGATTATTTTGCATTCCTAATGCGTATATCTCTAGGAGAGCCACACCTCACTGCTGATGCTGGCTGCATAGATTATGCATTCTAAGGGGACCAACATGTTTAGAATGTATTCTTCTGCACTTTCCCCTGTTGTCTCATGTTTTGCTATGATAGAAGCACTGGCAAATTAAAGGCTTGTTATTGATTTCTGTGAGATGTTAATAATTTCCATGTTACTCTGCACTGGAGTGGCAGTAACTGATGTACAAAATTTGACATCCTAATTATTCCATGATGGAATGGAGGCACATTAACCTGAGACACAGCAGCTTAGTAACTCTGGATCTGTGGATTCAAAGCATCCTTAGGTCACAAGTGAAATGAGTGAGGCTGAGTACAGTCTTTATGGATGTTTCTTTGCTTCTCAAAGAAACTAGACTGTCCTCAATGTGTCTGGAGCAGATGGATCCTGAAACAAAAAAAAAAATGTTTTATTTTCAGTATTTCTAGTCAAGCTGAAACTGCAAGTACTAGAAGCCTCAGGAGATGAGAACTCTCCAGAGCTATTGCATCAAAATTTGCAGCCCAAATGCTTTTGTTGAATGAGCAAGGACACACATGCACCATAGGTCATTTGCAGATATTTAACAGTGAGCCCCAAAAATCTGATCCATAGCAACTGAAGGAATCACCATCACTACAGCAGCAAATGCAATTCCTTTAGTATAAATAAGTATCAGGCTGTTGCTGTCTTTGTTTCCAGCTGTATGTAACATCATCCACAACCTTTAGCACAGGGGAGACACACTTCAAGAGAATGCCATTTCTCAAATAACCACCCAGCTGACCTCTCCACCATGGAGCTAAAGGTCTCTTTAAAAATGATATATTGTGCATTTCTGACTACAGGATTAGATGACCACCTTAAAAGTATTATATATGCATCATTATTCTGTTAAAATTCATATTCTCAGTCCAGTCACAGACAGCCCCACAATAAGGCATCAGCATTTCAAAAGCTATCTGATGCTGAACAATAGAGTAAATGGCAAGAACAGAAAATTTGATTTCTGCCTCAGTGAAAGAAAAGATCTAATATGAAAGAACAATTGTGTGAAGTTTGAAGGCTTGATTGGTTTGTATTTTACCAGCATCATCCAAAATTGACTTTGGTGATTTAACTGTTATTAATATCAAGTTACCCAATGCCCTAGAAGGCAATAAAAAAATGGTGTTCTCTAATCTAATCCATTACCCTCTTGTCCTCCAGAGCTGGGCCAGGGTTTGTCTGTGCACTGTGCACTTCAAAAGAGCAGCAGTTTGATGTTTGCTGCTGTGGCTTCTTAACAGTCTCCTCAACAGTGCTGGTCTGCATCTCTCTGGTGGCAATGGTAACAATGGAGAAGGGCTGAGACCAAAAGGAGACAGAAAAGGGGAATTGGGAAGTGAAAAGAAGTTTGAATTGTAGTCCAGGGTCTTTCAGCATGCTCAGCTGCACAACATAGTGCAAACCTGAGGAAGGAAACTAATTAGGATTCCACTAAAAAGAGGAGAAAATGTCATGCCAAGACCCAAGTTACATCATGACGACCAAAGCGAAACCTTGCTGGCTAATGTAGCCTTAATTAATTTTATTTTGCAGAGACAGCAAGCTGACCATGTTGCTCCGAGAGTCCTTGGGGAATATGAACTGCCGCACCACGATGATAGCTCACATTTCAGCCGCTGCAGGGAACTATGCTGAGACGCTCTCCACCATCCAGATTGCCTCAAGGGTCCTCAGGATGAAGAAAAAGAAAACTAAGGTAAGATGATGTGTAATGCCCTTCTTATAATGACGGAGGAAGAAGGATTGTGGAGGCTCCTTATCTGGGTAGAGCAGCATGTAATAAAATCAGTAATCAATTCCAAAGTGTATGGGTGTATGGGTTGTATGTACCCTGACCTAGGCAAGTGTTGGAGAGCAATATCAGAGGAGTAAATGCTTCAGCTTCAGAGGCACAAGAGTAAGTTCAGGCTTCTGAACTTACTTCTACATCTGTTGTAGCAGGTTTATAAGCTGACCTTGTTTAATAATATAGCTGTCAGGGAGCATTTATTTTCCTTTTTGTTCTTAGTGCTAATGAAATAATGAGTGAACTGCTGTAGAGTTAAAGAAAATTTGGATTAATTAAGAATTAGATTCTCTATGCTTCTCAGAGAGAGTGGAAGCAAAATAAACAATTGTGTCCAATTGTGTACAATGCCAGCATTGATGACCTTTTTATTCCTACTGCTTCTAAATATGGGTGATAGATTTTCCAAGAAGTAGAGTGAAGATGGATATATTCATTTTCATGTTAGAGAGTTCTAGTTGCTTCTGTGCAACTTATGGTGTGAATTGGACAAAATGAATGAATTTTATGCATTTAATTTAAACTGGCAGACTGACAAAAGCTTTTTTTTTTGTCAAATGATTGAAGAGAGACAAATGAAGGGTTCAGTCCACACACCACCAGAGCACTGTGTCTCCAGAGACCTCTGAGTGCACGTTATACAGTTCCACACACTGGTAGTATGGGGTCATATGCAGTGAGTTTTCTTGTTCCTCTTCAAATACACAAATGTACACACAAACACAAGATCAGCAAAGCTTTTGTCAGATTTACTTGGTCAGGCTCAGTTAAGGGAGGTATCTTAATCCACATTTTTTAGTAATTTTATTTAAGTCTTATGATTTTGAACGGGACTCAGAGCTGGGCTTTGGGCTCTCCATTAAACATAGTTATGTGTTTGCTGTAGGGCTGTGGATAAGCAGCCTCAGAGCTCTGTGCCTTAGTTTAGAGATCTTCCAGTTCAGGTGAGCATGATTTTTTTGTATATGCAGTTTGTGCAAGGAACAGCTTGCAATGCTGAAATGTCATAGACACACATTTTCTCTCTCTCTCTTATGTTGCAGTACACATCAAGTTCTTCTGGAGGAGAGAGCTCTTGTGAGGAGGGCCGGATGCGGAGACCAACCCAGCTGAGGCCTTTCCATTCTAGAAACACTGTGGACCCAGACTTCCCTATTTTGCATTTATCCAGTGATCCTGATTATTCATCCAGCAGTGAGCAGTCATGTGACACGGTGATTTATGTTGGCCCCAATGGCACTGCCCTTTCTGACAAGGAACTGACAGATAATGAGGGTCCCCCTGACTTTGTTCCCATAGTTCCTGCTTTGCAAAAGACCAAAAATGAGGGCAGATTGGAGGAAATTAGTGAATCAGGGCCCAGCACGTCTGAAAGAGACTGCCTGAAGTGCAACACCTTTGCAGAGCTCCAGGAGAGACTGGACTGCATCGATGGCAGTGAAGAGACCGACAAATTTCCCTTTGAAGAGATGCCTGCTCAGTTTAGTTCAGACCAGACGCCTAAGTGCGCTGTCTCAAGCCAGCTGGCAGAGCTTAGCCACTTACCAGAGTCAGATAAGGAAGATACAATGACAGAATGTCAGAATCCTGATAGAGAAGCCAAGGAAAATACAAACACAACCCCCAGCAAAACTAGGAGAAATCACTCCCCTGTTCCTTCTGGAGCTCTTACCAATCTTTCAACTCCTTCTTCTCCCAGGAGTGTAACAGGCAGCTCTAGTAAAGACCTTAACTCTTGTCAGTTAGCACACAGCACCAGCTTGCAGAGCAGCAGAGAAGGGCTCAACACCTGTGGATTTGTGGAAGGCAAACCTCGGCCAATGGGTTCACCCCGGCTTGGCATTGCAAGCCTCTCAAAGACATCTGAGTATAAGCCACCGACTTCTCCTTCCCAGAGGTGCAAGGTCTATACACAGAAAGGAGTCCTGCCCAGCTCTACTCCCCCACCAGCTCCACTGAGTAAGGATGCTGCCATGACATCTACTGAATCTTTATTACAGCCAGAAATCCGGACCCCACCTGTAGGCATGAGCCCTCAGATTATGAAAAAATCAATGTCGTCCAACAATGGGGATTTGGAAGAGACGGTTCTCAATGAAGATCAGCAGCAAAGCATTTCTCCAGAATCCAAGAAGGAGATTCTGAGCACAACCATGGTGACTGTGCAGCAGCCATTGGAGCTGAATGGAGAAGATGAGCTTGTGTTCACCCTTGTGGAAGAACTGACCATTAGTGGTGTCCTTGACAATGGGCGCCCAACCAGTATCATCAGTTTTAACAGTGACTGCTCTGTGCAGGCTTTGGCCTCTGGCTCTAGGCCAGTCAGTATTATCAGCAGTATCTCTGAAGATCTTGAATGTTACTCCAGTGCAGCTCCTGTGTCTGAAGTCAGCATCACACAGTTCCTTCCTCTTCCAAAGTTGAGTCTGGATGACAAACCCCAGGATGATGGCAGCAGGCGCTCATCCATCAGCTCGTGGTTGAGCGAAATGAGCACGGGGAGTGACGGTGAGCAGTCGTGCCACAGCTTTATAGCCCAGGCGTGCTATGGGCATGGGGAAGCAATGGCAGAGCCCCCTGTCTCCGAGTTTGCAAGCACCATACAAAGCGCCAGCATGATTTGTGTAAGTGACAGACAGAAGTCAGTGGCTGACAACATGCTTATACTGTCAGAAATTGGGGAGGAAGCTTTCAGCAAAGTGCCACCCATCAAAGGCTGTAAAATATCAGCTCTAGGCAAAACTACTGTCACAATCAAAAACACAGCAAATCTTAGCAGCTGTGAAGGCTACATCCCAATGAAGACGAACATTACTGTGTATCCATGTATTGCTGTTAATTCCTTCAAAGCTCAAGACACTGATGATGTTGTACCGGCTGGAACTGCAGACCCAAAGGCTGTTCATCCCCGTGAAGGGAAAGAATCCATTGCTAAGAAGGTTATCAAATTTGAAGACCCTTGGTTGAAGAGAGAAGAAGATGTTAAAAAGGACAGCTCTGGGAGCAGTGATGAGCCAAGGCCTGACATAGTCATGGTTTCAGCCAAGCCTGAGCACAGCACAAAACAGTCCTCCACAGACAGGCTTAGCACCAGCAGTGGGGACACCTCTATTTCCCCAGGATCTGACAGTCTTAAAAGGATTGTGGATGGGTGTGAGGTGGCAACATCTGGCTCTGCAACCCAAAGCCCTGTTCATTCCAGTGATGGCTTGAAGAATTGTAGCCTCCCTCGAGGGCTCCCAAAGGCAAGCAAGGTGGAGGAATCTGACAGTCATCTCCATCCTACTTCTACTGACAGCACTGGAGTCAGTTCTTCTGCCCTTCCCCAGTTTTCTAAGGCTAGTCTTGACAGGAAAATAGCCTCTCCCAAACACTGCATACTCACTCGTCCCAAAGGGACTCCTCCTCTGCCACCTGTGAGAAAGTCAAGCTTGGATCAGAAGAACAGAGCCAGCCCCCAGCACAGTGCAGCCAGCAGCACCACAAGCAGTCCCTCCAGCCAGCCTGTGTCCTTCCTGGCCAGCTTCCCAGAGGAGCAGAATGGCAAACAAAAAGGCCCTGGCATAGATAGCAGCATCAACAACAGCAGCAGCAAGCTCTTCAGTGCCAAGCTGGAGCAGCTTGCCAGCAGGACCAACTCCCTAGGGAGGTCCACAGGAAGCCACTATGAGTGTTTGTCACTGGAAAGAGCCGAAAGTCTGTCCTCTGTGAGCTCCAAAATGAGCCCTGGCAGAGACACCACCATGCCTAGGGCTGGAAGGAGCTTCAGCCGCAGTGCCATGTCCTCACCCACCAACTCGGGCCTTTCCCAGTCGGCAGGTGCCTCCCCAAAAGCCAGCCAGTCAAAGATCTCTGCTGTCAGCAAGCTTCTTCTGGCAAGTCCCAAGGCCCGCAGCCTCTCTGCCTCTGCCACCAAAACGCTCAGCTTCTCCACCAAGTCTCTGCCTCAGTCTGTAGGGCAGAGCTCCAGTTTGCCCCCAAGTGGGAAGAACATGTCCTGGTCAATGCAGTCCCTCAGCAGAAGCCGGGGCTCCAGCCTTGCTTCCAAATTGCCCCTTCGAGCTGTCAATGGGCGGATTTCAGAGCTGCTCCAAGGGAGCACCAGTGCCAGAGGCGTACAGCTGCCGGGAAGCTTGGAGACGGATGAACGTGGGGGCCTTCCTGGAGACGAGAAGCCAGCTGTTCACATGCTGCCTTCACCTTACAGCAAGATCACCCCTCCTCGGAAACCTCACCGCTGCAGCAGCGGCCACGGGAGCGACAACAGCAGCGTCTTGAGCGGGGAGCTGCCCCCTGCCATGGGGAAAACAGCCCTCTTCTACCACAGCGGGGGCAGCAGCGGCTATGAGAGCATGATGAGGGACAGCGAGGCGACGGGGAGTGCCTCCTCAGCGCAGGACTCCATGAGCGAGAACAGCAGCTCTGCCAGTGGCAGGTGCCGGAGCCTCAAAACCCCAAAGAAACGATTAAATGCAGGTAAGCTGGTGGTAGGAAAGAGGGATACAGACCAAAGCAGATTAGTACACAGGGGGTAGGCTGGCCCTGAGAGTGAGCTAGTTAAATACCAGTTCCATCTTCTAGCTGAAGAAGCAAGGACATGGTAAATATCCTAGGCTCTGCCTGTTTTCATTTTGGGACATTCACTAATCCTGTGTGGTTGTATTGCCTTTGCAGTGGAGTCTCATCCTGACCTCTTTCACTTAGGTTTTACTTAGGAGTAGCAAAAACTGGTTAGTGTTGCCAGTGATAGCCACATTCAAATATTTATTTATACAAATATTATTCTGATTTGTTTGCAGAAAGGTGTCTTAATATGTACATTTCACCAGCCCAGTACCAGACTCTTGCTGAATAGCTGTATCTTTTGTGAACCCGCTTCTCCTTGTGTGCTCTGGATGCCCAAAGGTGCAAAATGCCCTGCATCTGAAACCACCGTTGAGTTCCTTCTCCCCACATAGAAAATGGAACAAAAATGTGTCCATGCCACTTGAAAGATGTATCTGAGACTCTTGCCTTTTGAGTTGTGGCTCCTTTTCCCAGATATTTATTGATAACAAATAATAGACAATATTAAGAACAATATACAGGAACCACTGCACTGAAGCACTTTCAAATCTGAAACTTTTTAGTGAGCATGGTATGAATTGGGAAGACTTCATCTTTGTTTAGACATAATTCCCAGTAGCTTTACACTACATCAGGACTTTTTAATTAGATAACAAGAGCTTCCTAGGTCATATGAAGAGTCTATGCAGGTACCTTTTTCCACTAGAGCAAGTTACATAAAGTTGCGGAACAGGGATGGGGACCATTCATGAGCTGGTCAGCTCATATTTTTCCTGGGTGCTGTTTTCCCAACCTGTAGTGCTAGTCCTGCCTAATCTACTTCTGAAAAAAATTCAGGCTGACATTGCATCTGGTGGCACAGGTATGTGGAAGATCAGTGGCTACTTATTCTACAGTAGCTGTGACTGTCCAAAATGTTTTTCTCATAGCGTTTTTAATTCACCAGCCATTCCACTTGCTGTGATACTCCCCTCTGGAGTTCATTTCCAGTGAACAGAGTAATGTATAACTCTCCCTTTCTTTATGCTCTTGACTCTGGTAGCAAAAAGAACATGTGCAGCACAGATGTGAATGCAATAGATACTGCTATTAAAGTAACTCCATAAATGCATAGCTGATTGTACCTGTTCAGAGGATGCATCTGAAAGTGATCATTCTACATAATGCAAGCCCAGACCAAATGACTGAATAATATTTCTGAAGTTAACTTTGCATCCTCTGAGAAAATCTCTTTTCCTAGCCCTTCGGGTGTAAACTGACAACTCGATTGTGTTTTGCGGGGAAGCTGCCAATCTAATATGGACTTTTTCTACAGGGCATTTAGATGGAAAAGTTTATCAAGTTCTGTGAAAATAGGCAGCTGTGCAGATGAGGGAACAGATTAGATACTAGAGAATGTCCCCCTTACTCCCCCAAGAGAGATATTTTATAAAAATACTCTGAGAAAACTTCAGGTAGAGCCTCCACATTCTATAGACTCCTGAGTTCTGGAGTCTAAACTTCTAAACTAGTGATTCAAAGTGAATCACTAGAGGACCAGGATTTGTTTATTCTGATGCTCACAAAACTCCTTGTTTCATTTCACTTCTCTCTGCTTTGAAGGAGAAGCTGGAGGCTGGAAATATGAATGACAGAAGCATTGTGTTCTAGTTAAAGATAAGGTTCATGTATGTGTGTCGTATTTTATACCAGGGCTGTATTTTTGGCTCACAGCTTTGGCTTTTGATAACCCCTGTGCGGGACTAAACATTGTATTAGTAATCATGAAAAGGGAGTTGTGAAGGAGAGCTCTGTTTGAAACTCAGGTTTAAGATTGTTCTTGTAGCAGTCTGGAGGACACACCAGGAAAGAAGAGGCCTTGAGCCTACCTGGCAGAACAGTGACACTGGTTTGCCATACAGTGCACATAAGGAAAATTAGCAAGTGATGGTGTAAGTACAAACCTTTCATTAGCAGGGAATGTGAGGAGTTCTAGATTTGCTGGTTTTTTACTGCTGTGTAATATTTGACCTATCAATTTCCCCAAATACACCTTTTTTTGTCTGACCAAGAGATTATTCTCTTTATTCTAATTGTTGGTGTGAATTGGTTCCTCTCTTCTTCATTAGCAACATTGCAATTATCTGCCTGATGCTGGACATGGACCTCTGGGTGGAGGATTTTCAGTGAACGGCATGTCTGTGTCCTTGGAATTGCCTGCCCTGGTGGACTCAGCATAGCCTGGCACATTGACCTCCCGTAAAGTAATTTACAAAGCTTCTCTCTTAATTCAGCATGTCACCTGGTGTGGAGAGATTCTCAGTGTATCATCTCTGATACTTTTGGGAATGATTCCCTACATCAGCAAGTAATTCCTGTATTGTTTGGAATGACTTGTGTATAAGTGCAACCAAGGGTTTTATGGAAATTAAAAAAACCTCAATCTTTACCACCATCCATATTTCTAGCAGAAAGCCACTGCCCAGAAATTAATCAGGCTTCACTTTCATATAACCAAGCTCCTGCTTGCATTTGGTCCTACAGCAGTGAAATCATAATTCTGTTTTGATGTGCTTGATAATAGTATAATTTTTCACATGTCAGCAGATTTATGATGGCATAAAACCAGGATTATTACTTCAATGCAGGAGAACATGAAAGAGGAGTTAAGATATAAGGGAGAATAGAGCTGTTCACGAATGTATTTTTATTGTATAATGAAAAAATGCGAAGTTTTGCAATCTTTCATCCTCTGTAGCATCTCCTTTCTTATAGTGTGAGTGTTATCTCTTAAGGAACACTTTTTAGAGAAAAAGATAGCACACAAAGGTTCTGAGATCTTAAAAGACAGATATTATTTTAATACAAAATGTCAAGATCATTGGACCTTTCCTGATTTGCGGTCACAGATCCACTGTGCTGTAATGGATATGGCACTATAGATATGCTCATTTCAGGTCAGGCAACCTTGTCCACTTTATTTATGATTATTATTAACAGAAATGCTAGCTGTCAGACACAATCAACATGAATCAGCCCAAGGCCCCTGTAAAAGGAGCTATAAAGAGTCTTTAAGAGAATCACCAGAAGAGCTCACAATTACTTTTGAAGTTCTGACACATTGGAGAGACATCATTTTTCCCTGAGATTAAGATCTTGTCTTTCAGTGCTCTTAAGTGCATTATTTGTATGTGTAGGTGCTTCTGCCCTGAATTTCATACATGAAGCATCAGACCTACACTGACAGTTTTTGAAGGATAAAGCTAGTTCTTATCCTTCACTATTAGCCTTAGGTTAATTTTTGGGCTCTGCCTGGGTACCTGTGCAGTTCACAGACAGTCCAGTACAGAATTGTGTTCAAAATTAGAAGAAAATAATAATAAAAAGTATTTCTTTTGCGTTCTGGTACCTATTGAAAAATCATGTTTGCCTCATGAAGCATGTAAGCCTGTTAGCCCTGAAGCTAACCTGTGCATTTAATAAACACTCACATTTTTCTAACATCTAACATTGGTTCTGTAACATCATGTCAGCATATATTGGCCCAAAGTGACTGTTTGTGGCAGAAACAAAGCTATTTAGCCCTGATCTACAGTTGTACATTTCAAAGCTTTGTATAGCTTGTCTTTAATCCACACTATGGTGTAAGAATTATTCCAGACCCCAGACACTTTACAGATGGAGAAATGAAGGCAGAGCGTGTTACTGACTTGCCTAATGTCCTCAGCCAAGAGAGAGCCAGATCCAGGGTTGAATTACAGGCACCCTCGACTCCTAAACTCAACCACAACTGACTTTGCCATACATCCTCCTCTGCCCTTGCTGAGCAATGGAAAACAGAGTTCTGTTTGTTATTTTCTTTTTGTGGCAGGCCCTTCTTCCTTCTCTGCCTGCAATCATCTGTACAACTACACTGTACTTTGATTTCTTTGCGCACTCCATTAGCCCTTCCCTGTAAGAAACAATTGGCAGCCATATTTCTGTCTCTGGCTCCAGCCTCCTCTCTCTTGGGTAGGCAGTACTATCTTGAGCAGGGCATGTGTTAGTGTTAGGGCATGGTTTGTACAGTTACAAGTTGCAGGAGTTATTTATTATTTTTTAACTCCTCAGAAATTCCAAGAGCGATGGCCCAGTGCCGCTGCGTGGAAAGGCAGTGATAAGGGTGCTTTATAATACATACTCCTGTATGTGATCAGGAAGTGCATTCTGGTTGAATTTTAGTTTTACCAGAGCTCTATTTGTATCCCAGGAGTGGAACAGATAGAAGAGGGAGGCAGGCAAATTAGGGTTTGCAAGATCTGTGTTGTATTCTCTGGTGTGCTGCTGGTTTGCTGTATCACCTTGGGCAACTTGTGTAATTTTTGTGTTCTCTTGTTACCAGCTCAGAAAAATAGATAATGCTGATACAAAAAAAAAAAAAAAAAAAAAAAAAAAAAAAAAAAAAAAAAAAAAGTAATAGTAAGGTCCTTGGATCAGAATGATTTTTTGCTCTTCTGGTTTGATTTTTAGCATATCTTCCTGAGTTTCCTTTGGATGTATGTGGGCACTGCTTTAAAATAATCTCAGTGCAAAACATGACTGGATAATTTCAGAGATGGAGCCTTGGTACTAACTCTGGGTCTTTCCCACTGGGAGGTGATAGCAAGGGAAGATCCAGGTTCTAATGAGGTTTATCCAGTAAAGTCAAGTCCTGTTTGCATTTTCACATTACATGCATAAATGTGTTGTTTCCAGTTTTTTCTGCCCTCTCCTACATATATTTACAGGTTCCTGTCTCTGAGAGTGTTTCACTACTCTCTGTAAGGAAACCTCCTTCCATGGGAGCAACAGAACAGGAGGGGTTATGATCATTCATCATAAACAAGGCATTTTATGGGGATTACAGTGATTTTCCTGAAGCTATTTTCTTTCCTGTTCCCTATGAGATAGGG